TTTTTTAAAAATATACTTGGCAGATATCAAAGAGCTACAAAATTTGGATGCAGCTGACATTAAACATTCACTTCGATAGTTACATTTTTGAGAGGAAAAAAAAAAAAAGCCTTTAAAGGCTTTACTTCCACTTGTTTGTAAGTTTCCTACATTATCAGCATATTTCCTTAGGCTTTTCTGACAGCAATATCCATATTCTCGTAGCCAAAGAAATACTGGAAACTCTGGAAACATCCAACTATGTACAAACATTTAAAGCTGAGAGAACATAACACAAAACAAATACCTCTTAAGTGAACATCTCCAGATGTTCTCATATATTATTTTTTATATATGGAGATATATATATATCATATGACTCAGCCATAGAAAACCAAAAGAATGTTCTCATTTCCTGAGGCTGGCTAACAAAAAAGAAAAAACGAGAATGAAGGAACTAAGATTTCGGAAGTCAGCTTTTTCTCAGTAACAGCAGCTTTAAAATTATATCCTTTGATTTCTTTTTAATACGGCCAGAGTATTGCCTCTCTCTTGCAACTGCACACACTCACAAAAGGAAGGACAGGAGGCACAAAAACACTGTTTTGTGTGTGTGTGTGTGTGTGCGTGTGTAAAAGTGCTGCAGACATGCCCCACTTGAGATACAACCACATTCCTTTTATCCCGAATATCTCCTATTCACCCCAGCATCACCGTTAGTCACAAAAATCAAGGAATCAATCCAGATCAAACCAACCTGGATTTCAATCTACTCCACTCGGAGTACTGCATCCAGCTCTGGGGCCCTCAACACAAGAAAGATGTGGATCTGTTGGAGTGGATCCAGAGGAGGGCTGGAGGGTGATCAGAGAGCTGGAGCATCTCTCATAGGAAGAAAAGTTGGAGGAGTTGGGCTTGCTTAGCTTGGAGAAGAAAAGGTTCCAGGGAAATCTCACATTAGCCTTCCAGTTTCTAAAGGGAGCGTATAGAAATCAACTTACTACATTGGCAGACAGTGACAGGACAAGAGGGAATGGTTTTAAACTAAAAGATGGGAGATTTTGATAAGATGTTAGGCAGAAATTCTTTATTCAGAGGGCAGTGAGGCGCTGGCACAGCAGCCCAGAAAAGCTGTGGTGCCCCATCCCTGTAGGCGCTCAAGGCCAGGTAGAATGCGACCCTGGGCAACCTGAGCTGGGGGGGGCAGCCCTGCCCACAGCTGGGGGGTGGAATTATATGATCTTTAAGGTCCCATCCAAGCCATTCTATGTTTCTATGAATATGTGCTACCTACTCCTCTGTCTAGCCATCAGCTTCCAGCTGCACCAGCTCCCATGTAACTGTGCCTCTATGGGAGCATGGCCCTGGCCTACCTCAGGACGACATGTCCAGCTCCTCAGAGCCTGGCAGGCCTGGGAAGCAGTTAACCAGAGACAGAGCCTCACCCCACTTACCAGCAGAACCTGGCAAAAACAAGGGACTTAATCTAGCACATGCGTCTGTCTCTCAAGCCACAAAACGCTCCTCTGCTACCGACACAGAAGTTCAGAAGCGGGTGGTTTCCATCTGTGAGCAGAAACACGCTCCCATTTGGAAGCATTTCTCATGCTAGACTGCTTCCCGCAGCAGATCCTGCTCTGCTGATTCAGTCCTGAGCCTGCTGGGCTGCATGCAGTCCTTGCCATGCCTTCCCGAGCCAGTGGACAAGTATGACAAGGATGGGGAGGGCCTACAGCCCTGCCTGCTCCTCAGAGCACATCTGAGGCCACCTCTGGATCACAGAACAGCCTGGGTTGAAAAAGGCCACAACAATCATCTAGTTTCAACCCCCCTGCTATGTGCCGGATGCAGACTTCTTCCCCCATACTAGCCCCACAGCTGCTAAGTGCCTGCATGGGACCTGGACTGGAGCCACCCAGGCACGCTGTTGCCTCCCAATTATTTCCTGGTGTTACTCCGCTGCTTTGCCACAGCCTTTCCCAGTGCCCCTAACCACAGTAAAACAATGCATTAGTACAGAAAACCCTTTCAATTCTAAGCACAACTGCTTCCCCTGACTGCTCAGACCACCCAAGAAACCTTCATAAAGTCATTACACGGTCTTAGTTTCCCCAATTAGCCACAACAACTCCCCACCCATGACATGAGTAATAAATCCCAAGGCTTTAACTAAACTATTCCCACCAGCTTAGGTTTCGGTCAATCAGAAGTCCACCTACACGTGTGTGCTGCTCACTTCCTCAAACTATTTAATACAAGCAAGGGTTGAAACAATTCTAGATGTAGTGGGCTGATGTAGGATTCACTTCCTTATTAGATATTTCAGAACTGGATAGTATGTTTTTGTTTTCTTTTTTAAAAACGAGCTAGGAAGCGATAGAAAAAAAACGCTAAGTGCTAGAAATCACCTACAATGTAAGGAACAGCAATTAACATGAAAAATGCAGAGCATAAGGCCTCATCCTGGGTAACAATACTTATGCATCGTAGGAGAGGTGCTCCAGACCATACTTCCCAGTGCAGCGGGAAGGCAGTTTCAGATGTGGACAGGAGGTCCACATGGTTCAGAGAGCTCGCCCCTGGACAGACCACCAGTTTTGGGATTTGCTGATGATCTTCATGCCCAGAGAGAAATTCATTTAGCTGTCCCGCATGAAGGGTTGTTGAAGCACACAAAACCAGCCAAGCAAATGGCAGTGCCTTGACTTCCTTTTTTCTTTCTATCTATTTAAAAGAACTAAGTAGGCATTTCCAGAAAGATTTTGACACTTCAGGAAGGGGAAGCGCTGAAGTAATTGCAAAGGAGTGTCCTAATTTGCAGAAAAGTATTTCCCTCAGGGGCACAGTCTCCTGCTCTGCTTTCTCCAATTGTCAAGTTGAATTAGGACATTCCCAGCTTTCTTTCATTCTTTCAAAGCGTGTTTCCGCCTCAACACCAGAGCTTGTGCACCAGCCATATCAGCAATGAGCTCTGCAGCACATCGCTGCAATGACAAAGACAGACACTGCCTACATACATGCTATGAAGGGTTCAGACAATGCGTGACTTCAGCTGTCAAAACACAACTGTCGTTCCCATTTTCCTTGTCATCAGCACCTGCTGTCACAGAAAAACTCCATGCAAGTACCTTTCCCACCAACTGGCAAGCTGCTTTTAGCACAGATCACTGCAACTACGTCCCCACAACTGGAAGAAGTAAAAGGCTGCACCAAAGTATAGATGGAGAAGCCTTTCAGCAAGGATTTGGGGCAAACAGAACACAGATGAATGCGGATGCCGAGCCTAACACACTCAGTGCAAAACCACAATTGCAAGAGCTGAAAAGCTTGCCTTAAGTGCTTTGGTAGTAAATATTTTATTGTCTCTTGAAAAAGAATTTGTTAACTATACAAGTGATGCTCCGCGCATTATGGGCCATTATCGGTTCTCCTGTCTGGAGCCCGTTTTAAGAACAAAACCGTTGGGTTACATCTGAGGTTCAACTCCAGTATCACCTACAGCTTCTCATCTCCCTTACCAATGCCTGCCAAAGCCAGCAGCACTACAGAGCACTCACAGGTGTGAGCTTCGCATGAACGAGAGCTGGATATCCAACGAGTCTACGCCAGTTTGTCAGTACAATTATTCTGTGAATAAAGAGGAGCTTGCTTTGTAGGCAAGCAGGCAGTAAAATAATGAACATTTATCACTACAAAGGAAAACTTAGTTTCCATGAGGAAACTACAAACGCTTAAGAGAATAAAAGACACTAAACTGCAAGCTAATGTTTTCTTCTCAATTCTATAAGGAACGTATTCCAGCAATAGCACACCAAGATGAATTCAGCTCAAACAGCTAGAAATGCTGCCCATGGAATGCAGCACAAAAAAATACCTCCAACAACTCAGGCATTCTCAGCCCAGGCACCGTACAACAACAACTCACGTTCAGATGTCGAACGCTGGCTGCTTTTGATTCAATCTACAACACGGGGACAGCTATAAAGCTGCACACCCCTCGCAGCCGAGCCCCTGCGGTAGCACCCCTGCTCTAAAGGCACTCAGGTTGCAGCAGCAGGTCCTTTGCAAAGCAAAAGCACACGCAGAGGCAGTACACGGAGAACAACAAGCATCCGTCAAAAGAAACAATATCAAAGTTAGAAAGAATAGTAAGGAACCGTGCGCACAGTCTTGCCGGCCAGACGTCTGCTGCTCCTCCGCGCGGGTCTGGAGAGAGGCATCAAGTCAGCCCTTCTCCCTTCTGCCTCCTTGCCCCGGGCCGTGCAGAGCAGCTCCCCGGGAGCGCCGCCCAGCCGTGCCGTGTGCGCACCGCAGCCGGAGCCGAGGCCGGCTCGGCACGAGGCGCTGCCCGCGCCCTGCCCCGTGCGTCCACGTGTCAGCGCCTTAATTTGGGACGGCTCACCTCGAGAAGCATTTACAGCGGGTGAGGCTCCGAGTAATTAGAGCAGACTTTGCTTTCTATAAGCCGTCCCTATTAACCTCTCTTTCCCTTAAGGCAACCGTGGCACACGCGAGAAACTCTGCAGAGCTCACCCGGGGCTATTTACCAACAGCGTTTAACGCGGCAACCTCCCTCGGGAGAGAAGGCTGTAAGGCAGAAGGGCTCCAAACCCACGCTCCAACCGGGGCTCAGCAGAGCACGGGGATAGCATAGGAGCGAAGGAACGCCCGCCAGTCCCACCACCCCCTGTTCCGACCGCCGGGCAGCAAAGCCAGGCTCCCACCCAACGCGCGAACGCCGCTGCCCTACCTGCCGGGCAGCCCCGCCGCCGCCACCCCCAACATCGCGCCGAGCTCCGCCGCAACGGGAGGAGCCGCGCCGGGCGCCGGTAATGGCGCTGCGCGCCCGCCCCCTGCCCGCCCCGCGCTGCCGCCTGAGGGCGCACTCCTCCCGCACCGCCGCCCGGCCCGGCCCGCCTCGCCCCGCCTCGCCTCATCCCGCTGCCCGGTGGGAAGCGCCGCGCTGAGGGAAGTCCTCCACCCGCCGCCGCTCGGTGAGTGCGGTTGGCGTCGCGGCGCCATTGGCGCCGCTTTTCAGGACAGAAGATTGCTGTCCAAACCACGCCAGCTATTTTTGCTATGTCTTACGTGTGGTTTCACGGTAGGGTGCGAACTCTGCAGCCCCCAGAGGACAGCGTGCTCGGGGCGTGTGAGGGCAGCGGGCGTCGGCGCAGGCAGGTATGGGCAACTGTGTGCACACGGAGGATAGGTGATGCAGAGCGACTTCTTGCGCAGATAACGACTGGACGAGGGACGATGGTTTTAATCTAAAAGAGGGGAGATTTAGATTAGCTGTTCGGAGGACATTTTTCAATGGGAAGCCAGTGAGGCACTGGACACAGGCTGCCCAGAGGCTGTAGGGTCTCCTCCTTGGGAATCTCCAGCAGCCGCCTGGCCGTGGCTCTGGGCATCCTGCTGTGTGTGCCCTGCTGGAGAGGGAGTGGGCCTGAGGGACACAGAGGGTCCTACTACCGAAAAACCCCCACCGGCTAAACTCATTCACCTCCCATCTGGCGGCGGGATTGGCTTACATCATCTAACTAGGCAAGTTCTCATTCTGTGCCTGCTAAGGTAACACTACCCCTTTGTTTTTCTTCTTAATCGAGTTTGGGCAGTCTGCCATGTTACCTGCAGGCAGCTTCACGAATGGCTGTAATTAACCCCAGTGTGCCTGTGAGGGGCTGGGAGCTGTCATGTTGCCTGGTTTCTGCTGTAGAGCACAGCTGAGAGCAGCTTGAACAGGGACCTGTGCCCCAGCGTACCTGAGCATGGAGCAGCAAACTGCACAGTGGTAAGCCCTGGAAATAATTAACAGCCTGGGCACATCGGCGAGCACAGCTGGTAGAATCCTTCCTTCAGCAAGAGCATTAGAAGGTGTAATAGCATAGGAATCACACCCTATGCAGCTCTCCGGTGCCTTCAAGAGACAGCAGCCCAGAGCGTGGCCTGCTGACAGTCTGATCTCACAGTGACACCCATAAGGAGCGGAAGAGCCTTCACCAAGCACTGTGCCAAATGCGAAGTACTGGCAGCCCTTGGAAGTGCTGCCACGAGAAAGTCCAGGTGTTTCAAAGGCACTTTAGCAAGTTTGTGCCTTGGCTTTGGGGGCTGACTCAAATTTTGGTTTTGACTTCCTGTTCATCAGAAATAACAATTCGTAATGACCTTCATTACATGGCATTAAGAGCATTCTGGTATCCTAATTAACTTGTAAAATTCAGCCCAGAGTACTCAAGTAAATAATTCAATAGGATTCACAAACTCACTCAAAAGAAAAAATATCGTTCCCTCCAGTCCTGTGTAATGAAAGGCTATGACTGCTTTCCTCCTACGCAGTTTTTAAAATGCAAGATGAGCTGCCTGTTTATTGCTGCTCACAGAGCCATCATTAAGGTAGATGCTGGCGTGCCTGGTGTCAGGAGTGCCAGCATCCCCAGGAGGTAAGCGAGGAAATGGAGACAGCAATGCTGAAATGAAGCTTGCTGAGGAAACGTGGCAGAGCAGGGATGTAGGACTCCGTATCTCCAGACAAGCACCATAATCATGTGATTATCTTTTTTTGAAAAATCTCTCCATGCTAAATCAGTTTATTTGAACACGTGTTTATGGTGTTCTGTTTCCAGAGTGCTTTAAGCCTTCCATCATTGCTGAAATACTATTGTGTGGTGGTAGGACTGGCAGGGGGACAAATGACAGTGCAGGACTTTGAACCATTTAGAATTGTACAATTTATCAGTGTTGGTACCACCAACAATACAAGGCCAATACTGTGAGCTTAGGGAAGGAGTAAGAAAGGAAAGGTTGTGGAGTGATGGAGAAGAGAAAGGCTGAAGGGTCTGCCTGCCTGCCTGGGATGGTATTTTTACATCAAGTTCCTTCTCATTTCTAAAAATATTTTACAGATTTGTCATGAAATGAAGAAACTTGAGTAAATATGAGCCCAGGCTCATATTTAAAAACTTAAAAACTTAAAAACTATCTAATCACTGTGTCTTCTTCACCATCTTCACAGGCTCCCCAGGGCAGTGGGCATTGCCCCCAGCTTCCAGAGTTCAAGGAGCATTTGGACAATGCTATCAGACATACAGTTTGACTTTTGTGTGGCGCTGTGTGGGGCCAGGAGTTGGACTCTGTGATTCCTGTATTCTTTTCCAACTCATTCCATGGTTCTGTGATCTTCATAGCTTCAGCTATAAGGCTTTTTTTGTAGATATTCCTCATAAGTGCATCTGCCTAGAGAGACAGAAGATGATAAAAAGATTCTATTTGAGGGCTGCCCAGAGTTCTTTCCAGGCTTACATTTGAGTGTTCCTACTTCAGACAGTGAATATTTGTCCGAACTTTTGCTTTCTCTCAGGACTGTGAAACTGCTGTATCCTTCTTCACGTTGTTATTGACCCTGAGGGCCAGAGCAGACCCACGTTTGTTTATTCTGATCAATGGATTTCAGCCATCAACAGTGTCAACAGTCTTTATATCACACTTTCAAAGCTTTGAGGTATTCAGAGTAGGGGCATCCTTAAGTGTCTTTTGAATAATTTTTCAACACACAGTTTCCAAGGAAATGTTCATAGCAAAACTTTTAATGAATTCACAAGTTACAAATTATTTAGGTTTCAAACTCTAGCTCAGCATTAATTACAGAAAGAAAGAAAATTTGGCCACTCTTTGAGCTCCATAACAATCTTTGCTACCTTTGTACTTAGTATATAATTTGCTCAGAATACTGACAACTTTGTTTTAGTGATCACCCTGACCTCCTTGTGAAAGCAAAGGCAAATTACTGCTACTTGCATTTTAGCTGTGCCTGGCATATTTGGCTCCATCTTCCAAATATGGAGCCAAATATGGAAGATGGAAAGAGGTTGTGCAGGAACAAGGACTGATAACATCTGATAAGTGCTGATACCATCTATTTGATGCTACCAGTTAGAAATACAGACACCTATCAACAGTCCAACATCTGCTCCATGGTAAAAGTCCTGCAGTGGGAGTCACGAGTCACACATCTTTCGATTGGTGCATTTAGAACATCTGTTGCTTTGTATGGTGGCTTGAATGTTTTTGCTAATGGCATTATTCGGAGGTGCTTTAAAGAAAGGATGAAGCTCAAGAGTCAAGAAGGACTGAAGTCAGCCAAATAGCTCGGAATAACTAGAGAGGAAACAAGTTACAACCCAATCTAATTGAAGAATGTCATTGTTCGTTTTTTAAACTTTTTGTCCGTGCAGTTTCTGTTCTGCACAGAATCTCTCAATATCTCTCAGTAGGTTTCCTCTTTTTTCTCAAAATTCTCCTGTAAGAAAATTTGGATATATACACTGTTCCCCAGCTGTCTGCAAATGATTGGTTTGAGCAGTTTCCAAGAGCAAGGCTGGCGGAGAAGGTTGATGTGGACCCAGCAACAGGAGCTGCTGAAGTCTCAGTTGCTTCCACTTGCTTTCATCCCGTTTGCAGGAGTCCACAGGCCTCTGCCTGAGGTGCTGCATGATCACCCCTTTGTGCCCCTGCAGGAGTGCGGTGGCTTTGGCCACAGGTTTAAGTAATTCATGTGGATCTCTTAAACATTAACTAGTCTATATAAATATTTAGCTACTAAAAGTCAGAATGATATGACAGGCCTTCTCCTTTGCCAGAAGTAATGCTGAGTGTCAGCAGCTTGACTCCACAAGAGGGAATAAGGAGAGTAAAGCAGCACTTAAGGTAAAAGCCTTTTCCTGGAGTTGTGTAACATTTTCCATGGATTTTATTTTTGAGATGTTTTGCAAGCTACGAATTGCAAGAGATCCAAGAACTAATATGTGCATCCACTTACAAAAAGGTCTGAGTGTTCTCAGAACAATCTTCGATTTTCAAGCAATTAAGCTTTCAGATGAGACAGTAAAAAAAAAACAACCTTAAATCCTAAACTCAGCTGCAGCTGCTATCCAATAACTATCAATTTATAACACTTTCAGATGCCTTTATAGGAGGACTGGGGCTGTACCCAAAATAGCACGCTGCTTTGTACACTGATTACCTTAGAGTCTTAAGAAGCCTACAGGCATTCAACTGACAGCAGAAAGAATAAATGATTTGCAGAGATACCAAAGAGGATTTGATTATTGAAGCAGTAACTAACTGATGTCTATTTTTCCATTTTGCTTTATGCTATCTTCATTGTACAATCCAGCCCATGTCATTTCACATTTTGATCATTTTCACTCATAGGAAGGATGGATTTGTTTGGTATTTTTTTCCAGAAAAAGGCATCAAGGGACCTAGTTTTTGATCTATGGGGACATGTAGCTTTGGCCTATACTAAACCAAATCTGTTGAAAAGAGGTACTATGTACTGTGGCCATTCTTCTATGAAAAAGCTTAGGAACGCTGTTATCATACCAGGAAAGTTAGAAGAACCTTTGAGTGCATTTGGTGTACAGACATCAAGACTGAGCTGTGTTTAACAACTGAGTTTGCTTTTGCTGTTGTGAGACAGTTTCATTTCCATGGCTTTGTTAACAAATCTAAAACAGAAAATGAAGTTGAGCAATTCAAAACCAACAGTAGAATGGAGACTATTTACACTGCAGCAAAGAGAACATGAGATTAGAAATAGTCCAACTGAGACATCCATTCCTTTGCTAATCTGGTAGACTTTGGCCCCTAGAAGTCTCACCTTCTGAAATGAAAGGTTTGTGGAACAGCAGTAAGGCTCCTACAGCATAGGTCAACTCAATCTAAACTGCAGTGAGGACTCAGAAATGAAAGGCAGAAATTGAAAACAAAAACATTCTTTTGATTCTGTAACATGCAGAGGAAAGACTTTTAGGCATCACAGCGTAGCCTGCTTTCAACAAAACAGTTTTCAGAGAAGTATTCTCTGGATTTGTAAAAAAGAGGGAGAAGAGCATAGCTTATGCCTGCAGCTGGGACATTGCCTCTAGTTTTATGTCTGTCGTGTCCTAAGATGAAAGAGGTACGCAGGCAGCATCTTCACAGATGGAGATGAAGTGTGACTCAACACAGCCAGCACCAGAGCCAAGATTATCTTTCTCTTTGGTAGCAGTTATTGGGCTATAAAGCTAAATAAATCTTCAAAAGCAGTGGGCACGAGAAAGCCAAGTGCATTATTACTCCTATTTCCCAAACAAAAAAGGCCAGTACAGTGCATGAGGTAGGCATCAGGTAAGCTAGTTTCAGTCCAGCACAAGTCTTCTGGCAGTTTCCCATTTTCCTTCATAAGCAAGAGAAAGAAAGCCCATGACCACACGGTGCGGGGAACTTTGTCTTCTTCACATAGCAGAGAACCGTGAGCCTCGCTGCTGGAAAAAGCACTGAGTTGCTCCACAGACACCAGGCACTGCATAGCTCATCTCCTTTACTTTGGCACCAGCAAGGCACCATTACCAATTTGGTAGTGCCTCTGTGCAAACCCATAGCCACTAGTGATCTCAGAGCTGCGTAACACTGATCTCTACCTTACTTGGTGCTGCCTGGCCCTCTGTCCCTTCTCCGTCCCCCCTCCCCAGTATTTCAGCCAGTATTGCTTCCAGCTTTTAAAATATGGAATATGGAACACTTCTCATGAAATGGTGGATGCGTTATTTATTCTTGTGGTTTCTCAGCCTTTGGTTTGTGCTGATGCAAGACTGAAGGCATTTACTGAATGGTGGTTCAAGCTGTCCTCATTTTCCACTTAGCAGTTCTGCCCAGGACTTCAGTAATCATCCTATCTTCGGAAAATTATTGCATCCTACATTTTGTTCCATTTAACAGTATCTTTCCATCTTCCAGAGAAGGAACTTGAACAAAACCAATGGAAGAGGTGTCCTTTGACTTCACTGGCAGCAACAGGGCAAATGCAGTAAGAAAGCTGGATGCATAGCTCAGTTAGAGGAGAAGCACATTGAAACAGCAGGTTTATTGTGAAGGCCAAGGTACCAGCAGCTTCAGCATCCTGCATAGAAAGGGTACTCCTTGTGTGTTTTGGCCCTGAAAGAAATAAAAAGTGTTCTTTTCATGACTAAAGTAAATCTTAAATATTTGAGATGCATTTGATACATGAAAGAGCCATCATGGGGCGACTCAATGGGGCAACCTGATCCACAAACAGGAATGTTGGAACTAGATGATCATAAAGGGCCCTTCCAACCCAAGCCTTCAGTGACTCTATGAATCTCTTGACCCTAAGATGTGCCTTCTCGTCTATGCAAGACAGTATTCTATTCAGTTCTGCTTGAAAAGTAGCCAAATTATTTTTTCTCTTCCCTTAAGCACATATGCAGCATCTGAAAATTGTTTGGCTTACAAATTGATCGTAAATTTCAGGCTTCCTTTTTCTGACTCTTATATCCATTTGTTCTTAGGTTAACTTCTTGTCACACCTTGATTTTAATTTATTTATTTTTTACAAAAGAATAAAAATTACCTTTTTCATTTTCCCCTTTCGTCAATCCAGAAATATCCATCACTATTACTGTGTTACAAAGTAGAGACCACACAGCTACTGTACCAGACCTTCTCTTGAATACTACAGTAAGCATCCCCGTGTTTTTTCTACCTTGCACCCAAGTAGTATTTTCTCAGCTAAGAACAGGCATTCAGAGAAAAAGAAAGGCACGCTGTTGCATAAGGATGAAATTTATTGAAGCAGTGGCCACATGAAAAAGGCAGCACAGTCATGTTTCCAACCAAAACACTTATCTATTCAAACTAGTGATTCTGAAATTACTACAACAAACATTTTTACCTCTTCATGCATTTGGTTTTTCAGCTTATGGGTGTTAACTGCTGTTTGCAAGGCTCTGTTGGGAGATATTTTCACAGAACTAGTAATAGTGGAGCTATCACATAGTTAAGGAATTATGGTGCTCTAGGTGAAGCCAAGGCAAAAGCTGGAGGAGAGGTGGTTAAGCTGCCTTCCAAGGCAGTTATTAGAAACTAATAAGGTCTGTTAGGTATCTTCCCCAACTACTTCAGGATTTCTATTATCAAAGCTCAACGACGGAGGGAAACAGAGAAAGGAAGATCTAACTTCAGAAAAATATTCTAACCATATATTCTTTTGTTATACTATGGGAAAGAGGGGTCAGGTCAGGAAAGAAAACCAATTCAGTTCTCCCATGTACCACTCTAACACTGGCTCCCTCTGGCCATTCCTGAGCCCTTAATCCAACTGGGCACACCTACACCGCAGCCTTACAGATTCTGGTCTTCCTGTGTTCCAGACAGAGCACATTTGGCTTGCACAGACAGGGCTCTGTTCTGTCAAAAAAAGAATGCAGAAGGCACATCCATAACCCGTTTTTAAGCCCATGTAGGTAGTTAAAAATGCAGCTACAGTGCACATGAAGTCCTAGAAACTCAGAATTATATTAAGTCCCTATATATACTCTGTGTAGTGACAATATAGTCTCATGTTTATATTATTCCTTTCCATCCCGAAGGTAGGGCTGAAGGCAGGCAGATAGAAGAATAAAATTTGGTCCTAAGCTCATGAAATCTTTGGGCAGGGGCTGCAATTTCTGGGAAACATTCCAACAAATACGGCAGAAGGGGGAAACAAGGGGGAGACAAGGAAAGAAATAGAACCAGAAAGCAAAGTCAGCACAGTGCTCCTCCAAAAAAAGAGCACTAGTATGTCAAGAAGCAGCAGTACTAGTTACCATTTTAAACTGCTTTCTGAAAAAGCAAATCACAGCCACAATGCTGTAATGTTACAAATGCAAATTCATGACATATAAAAACTTTACTATGCAAAATAATCCTGTGTCCAGTCCATACTCTTCTAATGCCATTTACTGCAAGTGCACATTAAACCTTGATATACCTACTTACATCAGTTTTTTGCCACCGAGGTTAAGTTCTGGCAATCTTTGCATCATAACACGACTTAGTAGCAGTTATTAAAATATTTTTAACATTAAGACCTTAATCTTCCATTAATAAAATATATATATAGTGATGCAGGAGGTGTCCACTACATTCATAAAGACAATGCTTGAGTTTTACTAAGATCAGTAAGTGTGCAACTCGGACCTGGAAAAAGAAGTCACTAAGCAAATGGTATTTAGTACAGCCAAAGATAGGTTGTTTGCATGCATTTATTCACAGTTCACAATGTTAAATCTACAGTTCTGAAATATGTGCATTTAAAAAAGGAACTTGTCACAGATCTCTGGAGGCAGTTGAGCAGACATTGTGCAGAAGGGACTAATTCAGGTCAGCTGCAAACTAAGTTTGAACTAAGCTTAAAAAAAAAAGAAGTCACTCGTGCTTCTATTGTTAAAATCACAGCAGGAGAATGACTTACACACATTTTTATGTGTATCCGAGCTCTCTCCCCTAGCTCTGCTCTAGCATTCTTTAGAGTGACATTAACAAAATCCAGCTGCAAACAAGAGTTAGTATTAAGCAGACATCTGGAGCAAATCACAGATGTTGAAGGTATCGTTTCAGTAACACATGTAGCCTCATGCTTGCTTTCTGCATCTCCAAACTACAGATGCCCTATGCTATTGGTTACCAGTTCTGTGATCTGAAAGTCCACACAGGGCGTTTTCACTGGTAGCACAAACCATGAAGATTCCAGTTAGAACATAAAATGGAAGAAAAATAAATTGTGCTCAAGACTGCGGAATTAAAATAGCTGAAGTCTGTTGAATGTCAATTGTTTGTCAGTTGTTAATACATACCAACAGCAAAAAACAATGATAATAAAC